GGCCGGCTTCGGTCTGTCTTGGGCAGTGAGTAAGGAGGGTAAGGAGCGGCGGCGCGGTGAGCGGGTGGGGCGCGGCGGGGCGGGGCGAGGTATCTAGGTTGTGCTTTCACGTGAGGTGGCTCCGCTCGATCGGCCCCCGAGGCGCGTACCGTTGCTTTAGGCGACGTTCGGCCACGTGACTGCCGCGCGCGCGACCACACATTCATATTGATATTGCTCTTCTTGCCGGTCGAGATGCCCCCCCGGGCGCGGCCGCGAGCGAGAAAACCTGCACCCGTCGGGGAGGCGACACGTGACTCTGCTCTCTGCCCGTGAGTGAGCCGCGGGGAAGTTCAGCCAGCGCCGACTGATCAGTGCGATAGCCGCCCGTTTTGGCACTTTTCCCATTCGCGCGGGGCGAAAGGCGCCTGCGCCCGCTGCCTCCATTCCATACCCACCCACCCGCTCCCCCTATTTCGACCAAAGTAGTGTCTGTCGAGCCAAACGGGGCATTTATTCAATTTAGATCATCGACATTATTATCAGCATACTGCTTTATACTTCATTGAGCGGCACTACCTTTTTACAAAACCAGTTTCATGTTGCGCAAGTGCGTTGCTGAGATGGATATACTACTATGCTACAACCGCGCCAGGGCGACGCCAACGACCACCACAAGCAGCAGCAGCAGCAGCAGCAGCAGCAGCAGCAGCAGCAGCAGCGCTATCAACCTGCGCTGGTCGCCGTGATTACAGCTCGACGCGACGCACGCGGCACTCGGCCTGTCCTGCAGCCCGCGGCGGGCAGGCCTTGGAAGCCTTTAATGGCGGGGCGTCCCTAGGTGAGCTGCTCCTCTATAAACTCGACACAAAATTCGTCGTAAAAAAATTAATTGTACGATAGAGCATACTTTGCAAAATTTCCACCATAGTGTGCGACTGTATATTTTTATATGCACGCTGAGTCACTCGAGGGTATGAAGGTGAAATTATTTAGCTTGACGTATTAAAGCCCACCCACATCCGCACAGCATACGTCAGAGTCCGATACGTCCACATTATGTACTAAAGTTTAGGACACGAGAGGATATCCACTCTGGGAAAGCACCACAGGTCGGAAAAGGCAAAATGTAGCTCCATCAACTATCAACTTCTTGTCAACTTCTGGGAAAATTTCCGGGCATCTCTACTGGCCAACTCTCTGGTCTACTCTTGCCCAATAACTTCTTGGCAACTTTTGGGGCAAGTTTCTGGTCAATTTCCTGGTCAACTTTTGGGGCAACTCCTGTGCAGCTTTTGGGCAACTTTCTTGACGACTTGCAGAGTAACTTTCTGGACTACATTCAGAGCATGCTAGATGGAACTGGTATTTGGTAAATTTCTGTGCATCTTATCAGTTGAGCACTAATGAGCAACTTCTTGAAATACTTTTTTTATGAAAATTTGACGAGCCACTTCCGCTCGTCCAAACAAACGCTGCCGCCGTGCGAGGCCACTGCTCGCTAACGCACAGGAACAAGCCGCCGCCAGCCGCAGCCGTATATTCAAATCAAATTCCTCCCATTTCCGTGCGAGGGAGGGAAGTACCAAGTCGGGCCGAGAGGGAAACGCGAAGGAACGGATCCGCTGCAGCCGCCGGCGTTAGATAAGCCATGCCAAGCCAAGTCCAGTGAAGGCAGGAGCTGGTCGGTTTTCGTTAACTCGTCCTAGAGTGGCCGTAAAAACAGAAGAAGAAGAAGAAGAAGAAGAAGAAGAAGAAGAAGAAGAAGAAGAAGAAGAAGAAGAAGAAGAAGCCTTGATTTTCGCTGGAATTTAGCCTGCTGTGAATTTTGTCGTGGGGGGGGGGGTGACACGGAGGTGTCGGGCTGAGTGGCGCGCAGCCTTGAGTGTGTTTCGTGTGTGTGGATGTGTGAGTGTGGTCCCCACAAAACACCCCGCCACGCCGCGCCGCGGTAGCCTAATGACCAGGAGGAGCCTCCAGGACAGTCAGGCGAGGCCGGCGGCAGTCACGTGACGGGCGGGCGGCGGTGAGGCGGGGTGGGGCGGGGCGGTCCAGTCCGACGGGCCCGCCACCGTCGAGCAGAGAGGTTACATCGAGAAAGGATGGATGGCAGTCATCAGAGTTCATCGCTCCTAATTCTGCCCGACCGTGTCCAGCAGGAGGAGGAAGAGGAGGAAAGATGGTGGAGGTGGGAGGGTTGGCTGTGGGGGGATATTGCGACGCCGGGGCGCGGAGGGGCCGAGGTGTCCGATGACAAACTCCTCCCCGCCCGCCAGCCCCCCATTTCCCTCTCCGGACTGGACTCGGAATAACACACAGCAACACCCGCCCGCCCAACTCTCGACGCGGAACTGCAAGGCAGGCGGACCGGCAACGCCACGCCACCGCCACAGGGAAAGGACTTCCGGGAGTCCTACCGATCGATCCAAAAACTCCCAAGGAGCGCCGCGCCGGCGGCCGGGCGGCTGGCTTCTCATTCTCAAGGCTCTCCATCTCGGGCGGGGTCACGCACCGTACGGCGCGAGCCGCACCCAGTCGTCCTGGACCTGCCCGGGTCGGTCGCACCTTGGCGTTGGCGGCAGCGGCC